GACAGGACTCACATCCCGATCCACGCACCACCCCATTGAGCAGCACAGTATATTAATAGAAAGGGCTACTTTTCCATGGTGCTGCAGGCCCTGGTCGAACACCAGGGACAATTCACAGACATTTGTGTCAGGTGGTCAGGCCGGGCACATGATGCCCGCATATTCCAGAACTCACACCTGTACCGCAGGCTGCAGGCTGGGGCATTTCTCCTGGAGAGGAACTATGCAGTCACAGATGTGCAGATGCCTACGTGCATTGTGGCCGACGTGGCGTACCCCCTTATGCCCTGGCTCATGAAGCCCTCACCGGCCTCCTGGATGCAAGCAGGGAACTCTTTAACTCCCGCCTGAATCGGGCTCGCTACCAGGTGAAGTGTGCCTTTGGCCATCTGAAGGGCAGATTTAGATGCCTGCTCACTCGGCTGGACATGGGGGAACACAACATCCCCGATGTGGTTGCAGCATGCTGTGTGCTGCACAACCTAGTGGAGAGGAAAGGGGAGGCCTTCTTCCCTGCATGGAGGACATGGGCTGATGTGGAGAGGAGGCACTTTGAGCAGCCCTGGACAGCTGCCATCCGGCAAGCCCCCCAGCTGGGCTTGCGCATTCAAGAAGCCCTGAGAGAACAATTCTCCCAAGGAGGCCAATGATTTTCCCCAGGGCCTTTCAAATGTGGGATTGCCCCATGCACCCAGTGCCTTCCTCCTCAAAACCCCTCCCGGCCCCACATTCACACATTGTACTTATTCATCACACACTGAACAGAGACAAGTGTTGGTGAAAAAACGTTTACAGTTTATTTCACTGTTGGTTTTTTGAAAAACTAAAATACTCTTTTGTTCAGAAAAATAAAGTGTTTGTAAACAAAGTAAAGTGCTTCCTTCAGTGACTCTCACAGGTGGGAAGAGGGAGGGTGCTGCCTTGATGAGGAGCCCCTGGCACTTTGGCTGCGGAGGCTTTCTTGCACACGGCCGCGCGTGCAGGCTGAGGCAGTAGGGGGTTGGGCAGGAGGTGAGGCTGTATCTGGGTCTGGCAGGAGTTGAGGGGGGGCATGGGCTTAGGTGAGGGCAGGACCAGGCACAGGACCGGGGAAGGCCATGGCCTCCTAGATAGCAGCGCAAATATCAGTGCACTGCTGGGCAAATTTCTCAAGCAAGCACCTGCACCACTCTGCCTCTGCCTCCATCCTCCTGTTCATTGAGTCCTGCATCCTTTGCAGGACCGAGATGTGCTGGCGCACCAGGTCTAAATAGGTGCACCAGTGCCGATGGGTTCCCTGTGTCCATCTGGGTGGTGGGGCAGGTGTGGCGCCTTACTCCTGGTCAGCTGGTCTGGCTGTGGAGGACAAGAGGGAAAAGTCTTGAAACACTAAAATACTCTTTTGTTAAGAAAAATAAAGTGTTTGTAAACAAAGTAAAGTGCTTCCCTCAGTGACTCTCACAGGTGGGAAGGAGGGAATGTCAATCTGGAAGGGGGGAGTGAGGCTCAGGGCTGAGGGTGCAGTCTTGATGAAGAGCCCCTGGCACTTTGGCTGTGGAGGCCTTCTCACACTCAGCCGCGCATGCGGGCTGGGGTAGTAGGGGGTTGGGCAGGAGGTGAGGCTGTATCTGGGTCTGGCAGGAGTTGAGGGGGGGCATGGGCACATATCAGTGCACTGCTGGGCAAATTTCTCAAGCAAGCACCTGCACCACTCTGCCTCTATCCTCCTGTTCATTGAGTCCTGCATCCCTTGCAGGACCGAGATGTGCTGGTGCACCAGGTCTAAATAGGTGTACCAGTGCCGACAGGTTCCCTGCAGCCATCTGGGTGGTGGGGTAGGTGTGGTGCCCCCCTCCTGGTCAGTGGGTCCGGCTGTAACAGACAAGAGGGAAAAGTCGTCAGTCATGTATGCTCACACTTTCCCTAAGAGGGGACCCTCACAGCACGCACCTGAAGTTTCCTCCCCGGTGTCCGAAGTTGTCTGGGAGGCCTCCTGAGCGTGGGCGTCTGGCTCCTGGGCACTCCTGGTGCTGTCTTCCTCCTCGTCCTCCTCCTCCTCTTGGAGCTCCTGGTCGTCTGCCTGGAGTTGCAGCCACTGCTGCACAGGGGTCTGTAAGCCAGACTCCGCAACCCTCTCAGGGGGCAGGGGTTCCCCTGCCCCCAGGATCCGGTCCAGGTCCTCGTAGTAGGCACAGGAGTGTGCCATTTCCCTGGAGCAGGAGCAGTGCTCACGGGCCCTGATGTACCCCTGCCGCAGCTCCTTCACCTTGGCTCTGACCTCGGGAACGGTGTGGGGGTGGTGGCCTTGCCTTGACATCAGCCATTCTGCTGTAAATGTCCCCGTTCCTGCGCCTGGACTGTGGGACCTGAAGAGACTCCTCCTCAGACCACAGCTCCAACAGAGCTTTGATCTCGGGCCCAGACCAGGAGGGTGCCCGGCGTTTGGTGCCTCTGGCTTCCTGGGGGGATGTGTCCCTGGGGAGATGTGTCCCTGGAAGGGCCAGGGGAGTCTTGGGGGGCTTGTCCCTGGAACATGGCTCCGAGTTTCCTGACCAGACAAAGCTGCACGGTTTCAGGGTCCTGGCTGTAGCTGTCTTGCTGCCAGAATGGTAATCCTTGGTGCCTGCTCCTTTTAAAGATGGCTGCAGGCAGGAACAATAGAGTTGAAAGCTGTGGCAGGAGTGTACACCAGGGCTTCTTCCTGGAGGCCTTTATTGTTGACATAAATTCTCCCCTGCGTCCACACTTACCTTTTGTTGACAAAACTCTGTTGACAAAGGCGTTATTCCTCATAAAACGAAGTTTACCGCCATCGACAAAACTGTCACATTCTGTCAACTTACTGTCAACAGAACGCGGCGGTAGTGTAGACGCAGGTATAGTTTTGTCAACAAAAATCCACTTTTGTCAACAAGGCCCATGCCAATGTCCTTTGAGTCCCTGGAAACTTTATTGGCAGGGGCATCTTACATCAGGCAGGGAAGTCACTGGAATATCTCAATCCATGCCAGCATATCTATATTTTAACATTCTGTCTAAACAGGATCTTAATTAAAAGACGTCAGTTTCCTGAGATGAACCATCCTAATTAAAAATAAATGTAGAACCATCACTGTTGGGCTGCAATGGTACCTGCTTCTGGGGTTATTAGAGACAAATCCTTCATCCCCAGTGAGGCCTGATTTTCTCTGGTGTCCATTGAACTAGATGTCCAGGTGCACGATATTTGGAAAACCTGTTCCTACTTAATGGATGCTGAACTCTTGAAATCCAACCCTGAGGGACAAGACTGAATTAAAGCCAATGCACCCTCAAGGTGCATCTACACAGCACCTGGAACTTGAAATAAGATATGCGATTTGCAATATGCAAATTGCGTAGCTTATTTTGAGTCTATTTTGAAATGGCTTATTTTGTCATTTGGCGCTATCTGCAAATTTCTAAATAAAGTGCTATTTTGAGCCATCCCTTACTCCTCAAAGAATGAGGTTTACAGGGATGGCAAAATAGTGCGTCCGCTGTATTTCGAAATAGCGGACATGTTCAAAAGACGTGGGGTAGCTGTGTAGACATACCCTCAGTGAGGGCTGGGAGACCCCACTATAGCTAAAGGTGCATCACTCTGAGGCCAGAATAGCAGCCTCTCTTTCCAGTTACATTGCTACATACGTGATGAGGAGTCCTGTGGCACCTTATAGACTAACAGATTTATTGGAGCATAAGCTTTCGTGGGCAAACACCCACTTTGTCAGAGGCATGTAGTGGAAATTCCAGAATTTCCGAATTCCACTACGTGCATCTGACGAAGTGGGTCATTGCCCATGAAAGCTTATGCTCCAATAAACGTTAGTCTGAATCTGCAAAAGCGACGAGGAGTCCTGTGGCACCTTATAGACTAACACGGCTAACCCTCTGGTAATTGCTACATATATCACAGGCCAGACACTGGCCTGTATACTCGTATACATCCAGAGGACTTCTGCTTACTTCATTGGATTTACACTCACGTGACTATGCTCAGAACTGATCTTCCTGTCTGTCTACCTAGGCATTTAAACTGGGCTATTGTGCACATCACCCTAGTAACTCAGCATTCACAGACAATGGTGCTCTAGAAGAATAACACTGTTCCATTTTTAAACCCCATCTTACTTTGTAGGAATTCAGTCCTAAAGCGGCACATTAAAGAACCCCTTGAAGTTCTCAGGGCCTCTGCCCAAATCCTGGGCCAGGCTCCCTGTTCCGTGATTTTGTTAAGATGTTGCTGGGGTGGGCCAGTGCATGGAGGGTACACGTGAGTTCAGGAGACCAGAGGCTTATAACCTTAATGAAAACTGGGAAATCTGCTACATCCTGACCACCTGTCACAAAGGACAGGAGAAATCCCCCTCACCTGAGGCAGCCCCGGCCTTTGGGCAAAGCGAGCAAGGTGGCTGGCTTGGGTAGGGGCTGCACTGCCCAGTTCCTGGCCCCGCCCACCCGGCCACTCACTTGCTACCCTGACTGGGAGCCATGCGGCTCAGCCAAACACAACGTGCTGCCTTAGGCCCCACAAACTCTTTGGCCGGGCCTGACCTGAGGCATGCTGTCTCTGTTACCTTCTTACATGTAAATCCTCCTGTCACACACCTAACCAGAGAGCCTGTGTGGCTGTAGAGCTGGAGGGCGGGAAGGGTGATCCATCAGATCTCATTTAGCTATGAAAACCCCAAGCAGGAACTAGGTTCAGCTGTTCTTTGAGTCTGGCTGCAGCAGATGGGCTCAATTCCCATTGGCAGTAGGAATATGCTGCCAAACAAAAACTACATACAGCCCACATAAAGAGTTAGAAAGAAAAGCCGTTGCCAAGGGGCTGGATCCTTCCATACTCTCCTCATTCAATTTTGCTCAAACTCCCACATCTTACAAAAAAAAAAAAAATCAGAGATCACCTTCAAGCAGAGCCCAAGGCTAGAAAATGGAATGTTGCCATGGAAACTGTTTATTGTCCTTTGCTAAAGAGGGTTCTGCTAGGCCCAGCCACCGCATCCACCTTTCCCCAATCTCATCTGCATTCCCTCACACAGGCGGGTCTTATGTTTCATTGGCTAACAATGGGTGAAGCGAAGAGCAGTGCTGGCTGGGTCTGCAGCACAGCAGGAGCCAAAGTCTAAAATCTCCATCATCCGGTGAAAAACTGATGAATTAACTGCTCCTTCCCAACCCACCTCTCACAAGAGCCACTGTGGGTCAACAGATTATCAGTTTTAGGAGCTGAACTGAATATGACAAATCATGGATTTGCAGTGTTGTTGTAGCCTTGCTGGTCCTAGGATAGTCAAGGTGGGTAAAGCAACATAGCTATTTATACAAAGAGCTCTTCTTCAGGTCAGAAGCATGAATTATCTGCAGCCTGGTCCTATAACACCTAAGGGGAAAATATCCAGATCTACGTATGACACTAACCCAGTCTGCCACAGTCCTCATGTAACCACCACCAGATAGATTTAAACCTGGGACCTCTGGAGCTTAATGGAGGAGCCACTACAGCTTAAGCTACAAAGCCAGCTGTCTCATAGTTTAGGCTGTAGAGCTCAGTTGTTCTTATCTCTTGCTGTAAGTGGTCTAAGTGCCACTACCTGGGACAGTGAACCACACTAAGGCTATGTCTACTCTGGCAGCTTATTGCACAAGAACACCTTGCGCAAGGGTTCTTGTGCAAGAACTCTTGCGTAAGAACATGTCCACACTGCCATGTGCGAGATGTGCTTTTGCGCAAGAGCATCCATGGCAGTGTGGACGCTCTCTTGCTCAAGAAAGCTCTGATGGCCATTTTAGCTATAGGGCTTTCTTGCACAAGAAACCACTGCCATGCGTCCACACTGCCCTCTTGCACAAGAGAACTTACACCTGTTAGAAAAGAGCGTAGCTCTTGCACAAGACGCCCTCTTGCATTTACCACACCATACTGTAAATTTCCTTGTGCAAGAGCAGGCGGGCAGTGTGGATGCTCTGGGGGTTCTTGTGCAAGAACGGCTGTACTTGCGCAAGAAGCTGCAATGTAGACATAGCCTTAGAGGAAACACTTCCCCCAGCCTCTCCGCCCCCGAGTTAATGTCACACACATTGGGCTAATGCAACTGCAGGATAGTTGCATGAGGGAGGTTTAATGGGGGCCAAACTGTTGTTTCTTCCTTACTAGCAGGGGTTAGTGACTACAAAATAAGAGCAGTGAGAGTGGGCATTTCTCACTTGGTTTTCTAAACTACATTTGACGGATCATCCTGAGCGATTTCTTCTGTCAGTAATATTGTTTTTGGGTCCACATCTCCTAGGTTCCTTTACTTTCCTACCTAAAATCTCCCCTATACTTTCAGTTATATATAGCATTCTCCA